CCAGCATCAACCTGCTGGGCTCTGGCAATCCTTCTACCTCAGTCTTCCAAGGAGCCGGAACTACAGGCACACACTACCATACCAGGCTAATTTTTTATTTATTGTAGAGACACAGTCTCGCCAAGTTGCCCAGGCTAGTCTCGAACCCTCAGACTCAGGCAATCCACTTGCCTCGGCCTCCCAAAGTGCTGGGATTACAGGCTGAGCCACCGAGCCCAGCCTGTAAAAAACTTTTACAAGGAAAACTGGAAAACACTGGTGAAAGAAATTGAAAAGCACACAAACAAAAGGAAAGACATGCTATCTTTGTGTTGCTATAAAACAATACCGGAGGTTGCATAATTTATGAAGAAAATAGGTTTTATTTGGCTCATGTTTCTGTAGGCTATACAAGAGGCATGACACCAGCATCTGTATCTGGTGAGGGCCTTGGCATGCTTCCATTCATTGAGGAAGGGGAAGGGGTAGGGGAGCTGGCTTATGCAGACTTCACAAGGCATAAAAGGAAGCAAAAGAGAGAAGGAGAAAGTGACAAGTCGTTTTAACAACCAGTTCTCTCAGGAACCAATAGAGTGAGAATTCACTCACTCCCCCCCCCCCATTCCCTACTCTCCATCTACACAGAGCAATCTACAGATTCAGTGCAAACCCTACCAAAATACCAATGACATGCTTTACAGATATAGAAAAAAAGAATCCTAAAATGTGTGTGTGGCACACAATAAAAGATTGAATAGCCAAAGCAATCCTAAGCAAAAACAACAAAGCCGGAGGCATCACACTATCTGACTTCAAAATATATCACAAGGCTGTAGTAATCAAACAGCATAGCACTGGTATAAAAGCAGGCACATAGACCAGTGAAACAGAATAGAGAAACCAGAAATAAACCCATGTATTTACTTCCAAGTGATTTTCTACAAAGGCACCAAGAATATACTTTAGGGAAAGGACAAGGACACCACCCACTTCAATACATTGTACTAGGAAAATTGAATATCCACATGCAGAAGAATGAAACTTGACCCCTATGTCTAATTATATTTAAATCCTAACCTGAACAGATGTAATTGAATAAATACACATGAAAGCCAAGCAACAGGGGCAGTAAATACATTTGATTCTATTAAAAAGTTGTTGGAAACAGTAGTTTATATAAATATCCAAGTCTAGTATCAGTACAATTCTGAGCTTCGGAACCTATTGATTATTATCTTGAATTGATAACTACTTTTCTTAGTAGCATTTTTATAACATGTTTTGTTTTGGGATTATTCTTTCAGGACAGTACAAGACATAGTAAGCTATTAATTTTAGGAGAGTACGAGAAATAGCAAGTCATTAATTTTATAGTATTCGGGATTTTTTTCTTTTCTTTTAAAGATGTGGGGTATAATTCAAGATTAGGTACATAAGTGATCATTGAACAGGTAAAGTTTGGGCCTCCCTTTTGGTCCCCAGTTCGCCTGTTTTGAGGTCAGGTATGCTTATTGACGTTATATGCTCCCCCCTCCCATCCCCCAGCAGTTTCCCACTACTGTCAATCCCTTTCATATAGTATTATGGCAAATGTTCAGGGTCTGTTTATGAGTGAAAACATGTGGTACCTAGTTCTTTGTTTCTGTGATAGATCATTGAGTATGATAGACTCTGAATTCATCTAAGTTGCTGCAAAGTCCATAATGTTGTCCTTCTTTATGGCTGTGTAACATTCCATTTAGAATAACTGACCTGTACTCCACATCTTTAAAATAAATAAGAATAATGATCACATATTTTGAAGATAGTTTAATCATTTCCAATCTTCATTAACTTGAATAGTGTTAGCAAACAATATTTGCATTCTGTTTATGCAACCACAACTTTTTTCCTTTATGAATATCTGATTAAATATGTTAAATTAAAAAGGTGTATTTTCTATTAAAAGGTCTAGGATCAATATATTCAAGAATTAGGACTGTGTTAACAGTAAAGTCAACCCTGTTTCAACACTGTCATTATTTTCACATAAAGACAAAATTGTGTGTCTATGCATGAATGTATTTGGGTACAGTGGCAAAAATGGAAATAATTATGATATGTAAATTGTTCCAAATATGTCATATGCGCACACACACACACACACACACACACAGTTTCACCTTGAAAGTACACTATTCGGCTAATGTTCTGGTAAATAAAAATAATGATAGTAATAATAACAAATATTCATATTTACAGGAATTTCAGGATTATAATGTTTTATTTCTTTCCATCTTAAATATTTAATCAGACATTTTGCCTGAGACTAAACTTGCCACTTGAGAGAATATTATGAAAGAACATATTTTATTCCTTGGTTGTCCTCAGTAGGATCTTCTGAATTTTTGTGTATGTTGGTCAAGTTTATTGGAGATTAAAATAGATATCAATATTTAAATAGTAAACAACCTATTAAGAGACTTGCTTAGGTAACATCTTCAGAAAACAATTTCACAAGGACAAAAATCTACTAAGAAATATGAAAATAATAGAAAACTGACACAGAACTTAAGAGATAAATGGAGTTCTATTATCAGAGCCTTTCTCTCAGGAAGGCTGTGCCAAAAGTAAAATGATTCAGTGGTATAGGTGTTATATCCCAGGCAGAACAATGAGATGATATGTCATCTTTTTAGATTATAACAATAATAGTAATGATACAATGATAAGATAGTTCATCTTTTTCGATTAACCAAAAATTATAGTAATAATAACAAGAAGGAGGAGGAAGAAGAGAAGGAGACAATGACAATAAAGAAAAAGGAGAAGGAAAGAAAGAAGAGGAAGAATTATTACAGTAGAAGAAGGGGAGGGGAAACAAACCAACAAAAACCACAACAACTGTAGTACATGTAGTGTGGTGTACCACCCAGATGTCTTTACTCCTCAGGACTAAAGTGCTTATTCCTCCAGTTCTTGAGGGTGTTGACAGCTGTTGTGTTTGCAGCTGAGTATCTTTCTCAGAGATTACTCTCAGCTGAAAATAACTGACTTTCTCAAAGTCATGGTTCCTTACCAGGAAGCATCTTGCATCCTATGACTGGTCAGTATGGTGGTATAAAAGGCCCCTTTTCCTTAATTTGGGACAACTCTGCAGGACAAGCCCAACTCCAGAGCTTCCCATGGAATCAGCTAAGCTATTTGTTGTGACTGAATAACTGCTTAGCTTTTCCTTCTGTGCAATTCTGTTTTGCTTCGACACAGGTGTTGAATACAAAACCACTCACCAATAAAATTTCTTCAAGGAAATCTCCACAGTTCCAGTTCTGGAAAAGTCAACCTGCAACAACATCACCTATATATTGCTAACTATATGTCAAGCCTTGTTGTGTCTTACATGATAAAACATTTAATCTTCACAACATGGGGTAGATAAAATTATTATACCCATTTTACAGATGAAAAAACTGAAGCATGGGGGCTAAATAACTTGCCCAAGTTCTTATATCTGGTAAGTATCAGAGAGAGCCAGGGTTTGTACACAGGCACTATGACTCTAGACTACATGCTCTTAACCATTATGCTATAATGCCTTTTTTAAAAAATTTATTTTAAAATTGTGGGGTATAGATAAGGGTTAGGTATACAAATATTCGCTGTGAAGGTACCCTTGTTGATGAGATGTGCCCCCTCTTGCCCAGGCAGATATCGACTACCGTTAATCCCAACTCCCTGCCACCCCCCATAGTTTCCTACCACTGTCATTCTTTTTCTTATAGTATTACAATAGTTGTTCAAGGTCCACTTATGAGTGAGAATATATGATACTCAGATCTTTGTTTCTGTGAACTATCACTCAGTATTATAAACTCTAATTCCATCCAGGTTACTGTGAAATTCATAATTTTGTTCTTTATAATGCCTTTTAACCTTGATAGCATAGAGTTTGATTTCCAAATTGCCTTTTTAAAAGATAACAGGCTGTCTCACTTCAATTTTTTTAAAATAAATTGTATTTGGAAAATAACACCTCTTTTCATGAGAACATAAAGAAGGAACTACTATGATTAAATTAGACTCCTGCCCTTCTTGCCTCTTTAGTTTTTCATTACAAAAGCCAAAATAATCCTGTCAAAACTAAGTTGTATCCTGCCATTCCTCAGATCAAAATGCTTCAACAGTTTCCCATCTCACTCATAGGAAAAGCCAAATTCTTATATGGTGGACTAAATTTTTTGTTCAAAAATATATGCTGTTCCTCTCTACAGGGCCTATCCCTACATGTCCCTCCGTGTGAGAGAAGTATACTTCCCACCCCATTGACATTAAGCTTGCCAATGTGACTTGCTTTTGCCAGTGGACTAGGACTATAATAGCCATGTCTGAGCAGAAGCTTTAAGAACTGGCACATGGTTCCACTATGGCCCTTTTACCTCTGTCCCATATATGGGATACTCCTTTAGCCTGATTACCTGAATGAAGATAATATAAACAGAATCACAAACAAACTATATAGGACATACAAAATGAACCCCAAATTTTATTGCTGTAAGCCACTAAGATTTAGGAATTTTTTTCACTGCAGTATAACACAGAGAAAGCTGATTCCCGCATTTTGTTGGGACCATTTATGATATTCAATATCCCTTACCCTTCTCCCTTACATGTTTGACTTCATTATCTGCACTCCTGAAGACTGTAATCCAGCCTTGAATGTTTAACTCATGATTGTGTTAAGCACCCCATCTTGTCCCACCACACTCACCATCTTCTTCAAGGTCCACCCCGAGCACTCCAGGAATTGGGTTAGATGTGCCTCCTCATAACTCTCATAGCACTCTCTACTTAGTCTACTATAGCATTTAGTACACCATAATACAAATGCTGGCTTAAATGACCTCCCCTTTAACCCTACCCAGTCCCTGACTATCTAGGGCAAGAGCTATATATTATATACTTGTATAACCAGAACACACCACTGTGGTCATTGTATGAAAGGAGTTTAATAAATGTTTATTGAATAAATTAGCATATTCACATTATGTTTGATTTATTAAACTTTTATTTTTCATTACATTTAGTACAGCAAAGCAAATATAGGTAAACATCAGTATTCTTTACACAATAGCAGACAGAAAAGAAAGCCAGCCACAATTTATAGTGCTTTTTCAGTTGTTGTTATATTTGTTTGTTTAACACATGAAGCTAGATAATTTTACTGGTGAATTTTTTCAAACTTTCAAGAAAAAGCCTATATCTATAGCTATATGCTATGTACTATCTTCCAGATAATGCAACAAGATGGAAAGATTTCCAAAAAATTTTATAAAGCTATCAAAACTCATACCAAAATACAACAGAGACGGCAAGTAGTCAATCACATTTACCCTATTGGACAATATATTAAAACGGTTGGAACTTTTCAAGACACTACACAATAACTAAATATGAAAATACATAAATGGAACTGGAACACATACAATACCAAATACAATATGTACTCCCAATACATGAGACCTAAGGCCCTAGGACCCAACTTTTCATGGCCCCTCTGACTGCCACGCATTCTTCTATCTGAAGTTGTGAACAAAGAATTGCCTGTGCCCAACATCTGCTCTATTGGCTTCATCTTCCAGTGCCTCCCTGTACTGCTCTGGCCAGTCCTGTGGCTCCTTTCTGTGGATTCTGGCCACATATCGCAGGGCTTTCATCTTAGAGGTTTCCAATCGGGCTCTAGGGCCCCATACAAACTCATATTGCACTGGATCGCTGTCAGGAACCCGTAAACTGTCGATATAGCGCTGACTCAAATACCTACAGGTAATCACATGCTTTCTCCCAGACTGAACCCCTAAGCCCCGCAGAAAGGCCCAGACTGCAGACTCCCTGGCATGGTTTCCCATTATAAAGATGAAGCTTAGGACCTGCATCAAAAAGTTGTTGCCAGGCCTGTTTGGACTGTCCACAATCTCTTCAATTTCTTCCATTTCCCTTCGGTTGTACAGGGTATAGGAGTGATTCCTGGGATCAAGTACCACCAGCTCTGTCCCATAGACATGGTTCAGGGTGCGAGCAGCACGATTTAAGAGATCAGGGAACACTTTGCTGCACTCTCGGCCAATATAGTACAGAATTCCTTTCTTTGGTATAGGCAGCTTAGTTGAATCCATAAGCAGAAATAACTGAACCAATTTCCTTGCCTTGCTCTCCAATCTTGACTCAGGCCATGAATGTGGAGGATATTTTGAGGAATAGTTGGAAACCTCTGAATCAGCAGATGCTACCTCTGCGGCAGCTTCCTCAAAAAATGGCCTCCTAAAGTGAGGGAGAGCCTGCCAACCCTCAGCAAGGGCTCTGGCAGCATCTTCTTCCAGAGCCTCATTGTATTGCTCTGGCCAGTCCATAGGATCTTTGTTATAGATCTTAGCCATGAACTTCAGAATTTTCATCTTGGTGGTTTCTAGGTGGGATCTTGGGCCCCAGAAAAACTCATACTCCACTGGGTTACAGTCAGTTACTGGCCTGTAGTCCAAGTAACGCTGCCACACAAACTCTACAGACAGAAGTCTCTTTGGGTTCCCAAAAATGGAAAGCCTCCTCTCCCGCTGCACCCCCATCCTCCAGAGCATTTCCCAAATCTCAGCCTCCTTGGCTTGGTTGCCACTCAAGAATATCTGTCCTAGAATCATCATCAGGAGGCCCATCTTTGGCCCATTTGGGCTCTCTTCTAACCCTTCAAAGGGCACAGGTCCCAGTTTGTTGAGCAGAATGTAGGTGTGTGCCTCAGGGTCAAGTTCCCTCAATTCAAACCTAAAAATGCACTCTAGGTGGGCTGCTGCTCGTCTTAGGATCTCAGGGAACTGGCTGCGATATTCTTTAACAATATACTCTCGCATTTCCGACTCCCGGATAGGGTACTTGCTCTGATCCTTCACCAGCAGGAACTGCAACAACTCGGCTACATTCTGTTCAATAGGGTCCTGGGGCTTCAAGGTAACGGCGACCCGGGAAGTACTGAGGCCCATAATGGTAATGGAGTTGGGGCGCTCACAATCTCTCACGACCTCGAATTCCACGGGGCCTACCGCACCCCTAGGGCCCTCAGAGTCAGAGTCCACAGAGGCCTTGGCCTCCCTAGTGCTTGGCAAAACAACGGGGCACTTGGAGGGGTTCCGGCCCACAGAAGCACTTGAATTCAATGGTGTGCTTGGGCCCTCACCAGGGGTGGGTGGCTTGGAGGTGCTCGGTCCCTCAGAGGCGGTGGGCAGCACGGAGGTGCTCGGGTCCTCACCAGGAGGTGGCGGCACGAAGATACCGGGTCCCTCAGAAGCGGTGGGCAGCCCGGAGATGCTTGGGCCCTCACCAGGGGGTGGCAGCACGGAGGTGCCAGGCCCCTCAAAAGCGATGGGCAGCACGGAGTTGCTGGGGCCCTCACCAGGGGGTGGCGGCACGGAGGTGCCCGGTGCCTCAGAAGCGATGGGCAGCACGGAGGTGCTAGGGCTTTCACCGGAGGTGGGCGGCACGGAGGTGCTCGGGCCCTCTGCAGGCGGGGGCCGCATGGAGGTGCCGGGTCCCTCAGAGCCTGTGAGCGGCACGGATGTATTCAGTCCCTCACCAGGGAGGGGTGGCACGGAGGTGCCAGATCCCTCAGTGGCAGTGAGCAGCACGAAAGTGCTCGGGCCCTCACCGGGGATGGGCAGCACGAAGGAGCTCGGTTCCTCAGTGCAAGTGCGCGGCCCAGAAGCGCTCTGGCCCTCAGAGGCGGTGAGCGTCACGGAGGTGTTCGGCCCCTTAGAGATGGTGGGAGGCCTGGAGGTGCTTGAGCCCTCAGAGGCGGTGGGTGGTACAGAGGTGCGTGGGCCCTTGCTGGGGGTGGGAAGCACGGAGGTGCTTGGGCTCTCAGAGGCGCAGAGGCCCTGGAGGCTCTGGGGATCGCTGGGATCCTGGGGGATGTCTGGGCCTGGCATAGCAGCAGGGAGACCGGGGGCATTGGTGGCCTGTATTTCACCCCAGCTGCTGCTGCTCTGTGCAGTGGCCTTTGCACCGCGGCGGCGGCGGCGGCGCGAATTCTGGCTTACCAGCGACATGGTCCTGTCGACCGGCGTGTGCGAGCAGACACCGACAGGCCCGCGATCTGGCAGAAAGAGGACGGGAGCTGTGTAGGTGCCTCGGCACAAAACTGCCGCTAGCCGTAATGCTGTTGTTGCTGCTGCGAGAACCAAAGTTCCAACCAACTTGCTGGAGCTGAAATTGGAGGTGGTGAAAAAGAAGGCAGGTACTGGTCAACAGTGAACACTCGTCTCAGTGTACTCTGCAGCTGGTACCCCGCCTTCTGCCGCAGTCCGCGCAGGCGCATTTGGGCTCTGCGACAAGAGGATCCCGCCCCGCCCAGCCCCTCCCTGGGGCCTGAGAAAGTGGACGGTTCTGCATCAAAGGAGAGAGATTTGGTAGGATAGGACAAGAAGCTTGGAGCAGATGGGTAGGAAATAAAAACTGAGATAATAATAGCTACTTCTCAAAGTTACGGTGCCGATTAGAAGGCTTTTAACACAGAAAACCAGGAACTTTATTGATAGTTAGTATACTTGGGATTTGTCTTCCAGAAACTGGTTCATAAAAAATGTGCATTGTCTCTGGAAGAGTAAGCTCCCACCCCGACCCCTGTCTCCTCTGTCACTTTCTCCATTTAGGTGTATAATAACTCCTGTCCTACTGTTGTGAGATAAGAAAAACTCTTTCCTAGAGAGTATGAAGGCCTGAAATTTAGCTCCAGTTAGAGAGTCTGGGACAAGCTTGAAAATCCCAATATCCCCAGCCCCAACTCTTACCAGTTCAGAGGATTACAGCCTACCTTGGAAAGTCCACTTTTGAAGATTTAGTTAATCCTTTCAATTCCCAATCACCTGCCCATTTAACAGAGTAATTAAGGGTCAATTGAGATACTGAGTGTTAAAGGTAAAGTAAAAGTAAAACCTGCTCTGTTTTACTGTGTTATTACTCTAGCACTTTTGAACAGATCCAATCCTGACCTCTTTATTTATTCATTCAACAAACACTGATCACCTATCCAGAAGTTACAGAGTTAACTTTTTTGTCTTCAAGAAGTTTCCAATGTAAAAGCTGGAGTCAGACAAAGAAAAAGTGAAGCCAAGTTTTCTAGAAGTTTGTAATGACGGCTATGGAGAACAGGGTCAGTTCTGTCTGTAGATCCAGAAGATGATTCATAAAAGAGTTTGCACTGAAAAGATGAGTGGGTAGATATTTACCAAAAGGACAAGGATGAGAAAAGCATTCCATCTGAAACAGTAGCACAGCAGCAATGAGTAAAAAAGAGAACAGTGGAGTACAGACAGATTGTTTTTAGAAGTAGAAGAAAGAGAGAAAGAGATGGGGTGGGGGGAGACGCTAACTTTCTGACATTCACACAACCAATCATCTACCACTGTTGACCCTCTATTGATATGTTTGGGCCTTGCAGCAAATATTTACCATATTTGGTTTTTCTTACTGTCTCCACTACAATCTAGGAGTAGACTTTTTACACTTTTTTAAGGAGAGGGAAAATAGCAGAGCAGAAAACTGTATGAATGTTATATAATTATAGACTATTTTAAACAAACTATGGTACTAAAATGAAATACTAATAAGTCGTTATAATGATATTGAAGGGTTCCATTTCTAATAATGTGTAGTTGATTGTAGCAGAGGAGTTCCATTTCTTTTTCTTAATTATTTTTTTATTTTAAAGATGTGGGGTACAATTCAGGATTAGACATACAAGTGGTCATCGTACAGATAAAGTTTGGGCCTCCCTTTGGTCCCCACTTTGCCTGGTTTGAGATCAGGTACCCTTACTGATGTTGTGTTCCCCTTGCCACACACACATCGGCAGTATCCCGCTACTGCCAATCCCTTTCTTATAGTATTATGGTAAATGTTCAGGGTCTGCTTATGAGTGAGAACATGTGTTACTTTGTTCTTTGTTTCTGTGATAGAGCACTAAATTCATCCAAGTTGCTGTGAAAGTTCATATGTTTGCCCTTCTTTATGGCTGTGTAGTGCTTTTAACTTTTTAAAGTATAGCCACATTTTCTATTTAAGTATTGAGTTGATATAGCATGTTTACCAACTCTTAATAATAGTCATTAAAACATGAACAATTATTTTCCTACCTTGGGATAGATATTAATTGGTAAGTGTGCAGAATGTACACAACATTGTAAGTTAAATTTTTAACATCAATTTGAAGAGTGATTAAGCTCATTTTGAACATAAAGTGGAGACTAGAGGAAAGGAATAGTTTCAGAAAGGTTTTATTTTTAAAAATAATATAATTGAGCTGACTCAAAGAAAAAAAACTTCTAAAGTAAGCTACACATTTTTTTAATCGCCTACTGTTTGGAATCATTCATCCTTGATTTCTTCTGTTTATTTGGCTGTTGAAGATATACATTGTCTCTTTTTTCATTTTCTTTAAAGTAATAGTTTCTTTTTTTGATATTTTATTTTTATTTTTTCATAATCAATATTTTTATTATAGTTTTGTGGGGTACAGTTAAGGGTTAGGTGTACAATTACGTTTCATTCAGGCACCCTGTTGATAAGAGGTGTTCCCCCATCCCCAGACAGATATTTGCTACTGTTAATCCCATCTTCCTCCCCCCCATAGTTTCCCAGTACCGTCAGTCATTTTCTTATAGTATTACATTGGATGTTCAAGGTCCATTATATGAGTGAGAACATGTGATACTCAGATCTTTGTTTCTGTGAGAGGTCACTCAGTATTATAGACTCTAGTTCCATCCAGGTTGCTGTGAAATTCATGATTTTGTTCTTTTTAAGAGTTCCATTTCTAATCATATGTAGTTGATAGTAGCAGGTCTGCCAAAAAAACCCCTAAAAATTTGGGGGAAATAAACTGTTTAAAGGCATCAAAAGCTTCCAAGGCAACATCAGAAACATATCAAGATAATGAGGATTTCAAGAGTCATGATCTCAGAAGAAAGAGAAGTACAAAGAGGTAAAACTTGTATGGCATGCAACTTTATCACTCTAGGAATTTAATGATTGTAGGCTAATAATCTGTAATTCTTAACCCACTGAAATAGCCCATCAAAAATGAAGGGGAAATAAAGACATTTTTAGAAAACAAAGCTGAGTAAATTGATCACCAGTAAGCCTACACTAAAGTAAATACTGAAAGGTTCCCATATAAAAAATAAGAAGATACAATAAGTGAACAATATTAGAAAAGACAAATATGAAACTAAATATGCATAATGACAATGTAAAATAGCAATAAGAATTTCTTGTGTGATTTATATGTAGAGTTAAAATATATGAAACTGTAGATTGCAAGCAATTTGGGGACCAAGCAAGGAAAAAGATATAACCACAAGGTGGCAGTAGCACACAAGGAGTTTTATTATGTCAACGTTTTGATAGGTTTGTAAGGGCAGGGAGATCATCAAAGCCTGAGACCTTCCAGAGGCTGGTTGGAGGCCACCACCCAGAAAGTGAGGAAGGTAAAGGAAACTCCGAGGGGGAGGAGTATCAGAGGGGGGCTTTGTATGTATGTGATATGTCTCCACTGCAAGCAGAATCTCTGGGTCAGAGAGCTCTGAAGGACAATAGCAGGTTAAGGTTTTAATCTCCCAAGTTATATCCTACCTATGGCTAGCAGATGGCTGCAGCCTCTAAATGGCTAAATATATACTTATTGGGGCTATATATGTAAGAATTGAATATGTAAAAAATTAGTTTGGTACTGGAAGACTTTTGAACTAACAGACCTTGCCTATTTGAAGAAGTAAACAACATAGGGATCAATATACAGAGGCCATATTTGGCTCATGTATATAACAATATAGTCTCTTGCCCAATGTTATTTTACAATTCAAATTGTTTGTTATTTTGTAGTGCCTGAGTTTGAGCCCGCAATAAAGCAGATGGAATCCTATAAGGGCACAAACTAGGATTTCAAAGCTCTTTCACAGTTTACCCACTTAATTGGGGAAGTTCAGGAGAAGAGATCAGAAAAAGGAGGCCATCTTGATTTGTTCAATTGTTTAGTCAACAAAATGTCATTGTAACCCTTTTAGTATATATCCTTGATAGACTAAAATCAAATTGGCAGGAGAAAGCCAGGCATGCAGCTAAATTTGTCATCCTGTGTATTTCTGTGGCTAAAGCTATCTGCAAGTTTAGGCAACTAAATGTTACTTCTTGTTTGGATTAGTGTGCCTTGGTGCTTGAGTCTTCTGGTGATTGCCAGTAGTAAATAACATCAAAGTTTTCATGGGTCTAAAATAAACTTCAAAGGAGTTCTTGGCAGTTTGGAAAAAGTTATTAATTTCACCATGTGCCAAATGAAGTCCTGAACTATGGGGCACTCACATATGTGATCCTCACAAGTGGGCCAAGTTGTTTTAAAAGTAAACATTGATTGTATTATAAATTTGATACATTTATGTCTCTGTTTATCATGATATTGATGTAATTTCAGTGGGAGACAATCTGCTCCACCCTTTCCATTCCAGAGGAAGCTTTTCTAGAGACTCTACATGTATAGCTTTAATAACTCCAAAGATGTCCCCTTGGGAAGTGGTAATGTGATACCACCAATAATTTTTTTCCCCAAGTTAGCTTTCATATCAGGCTTCTCATTATTGCTTCTATATCCTATACAGTGGGATGTATATTGAAAGATTGAATGTACAAATGGAAAACGGTTGGACCATATATAAAAATAGGATAGTGACCCACAACATTCGGCAACCTGCCCAGGAAACCACCCCCTTATCAACAATAAACAGCCCATGAAGCTAGCCTGCTATAAATCAAACTTGTAGGATGTCAGATTGCTATCTTTAGTAACATTTCAGGAAGCTAAACAATAACTTCTGTAACAATCAGCTCAAAATGACCAGAACTTGATTAATAACTGACTACTTACTTAATTTTTGTCCCTGCTTCAACCTTGGGTTTAACCAGAGAAAGACAAATATGCACCTCTAACTATTCACATAGGATGCCCCACTTCTAGTTAGCCTGCCTACAGTTTCCTCATGCCTATGACCTGTAATCAGCACATACCTGAAGCCTTCCCTTTCTTCCCACTATAAATCTATCTCACTTTTATGTCTACCTTTGGTTCTTTTCCAGAACACAAGTGACAAGGGTTTACTCCCTTACTACAGCAAGCTCTGTTTTTTTGTTTGTTTTGTTTTGAGTTGGAGTCTCACTCTGTCGCCCAGACTGGAGTGGAGTGGCATGCTCACAGTCACCGCAGCCTGGACCTGCTGGGCTCCAGCGATCCTTCAGCCTCAGCCTTCCAAGTAGCCAGAACTACAGGCATGC